CAAGGGATCAAAAACCAAATTAAAACGAATTTGTAATTTTCAATTGCAAAGACAATTAATTAATCGACTATCGGCTTGACTCTCTAAAAAAGTCCCCCGCGGAGTCGCCAAGCTGTCGAAACGATTTTTTTCAAAAATGTGAAAAAAGTGAGATTTTAAAAACCACATTAATTCTTAATTATCTCTTTTTAATTTAAAAACAAATGCGATTTAAAAGACCTCTCGTTTCGAAAATTTTTAGATTTCCTTTACGATCGAAAAAATACAATTCAAAGAGTCGCCACCAATCTTTGATTAGGGTGTGACTGGGCACCCAAAAATGATGTCATTTTAAATAAAAATTAATTTTAATTAAAACAACAAATTGAGGTATGCGTTACCAAAATCCGAGTTCGGGAGTCGGTTACGTGTAGGGAAGGATTAGCACCCCCACAACGCCCTAAATCGGTACCTAGTCGATTAATTAACGTCTTTGCAATGAACTTTACAAATTCGAATTTATTTTAATTTTTGATCCCATAAAATAAAAATGTAAATTTGAAATATTCAAAAACACTCAAACAAATTAAATTAAAATTACCAAGTAATTTTAGAAAGATAAAGAATGTTCGATTATTTACAAATATCGAGACCAGATCTTAAAGATATAACAACCTTTTCTCGATATATTTAAATAAACGAACATTTCTTTTTCTTTCGTTCCCAAATTTTAGATGACGAATCAATTTTTGGTTTCACTTTCGGGATACACTTTTATTTTAAAATCATTAAAAGCAGACCTCAAATCAGTTATGACTGCCCACTTAAAACAATTTTAAAATAAAAATGTATTACCCTTAATTCAATTATGTATTATGTCGAGTTATGCGAATGCGGTTATCATGTGAATTGTGCCAGAAAGATGTCATGCCAAAATTTATTAAAAAACATTAAAAATATCATACAACGTAAAATACAAAAAAATTATGTACGTACATTTTAATTAAAAATCATAAACCATATAACATATAATGTAAGCATGTGACCTAAATATAAAAACAAAATCATAACATGCTAAACTATAAATTTTAAAAAGTGTATATATACATAAATGTAATGACTAAATTTAAATGAATGTAAAATTTGACATACAAATTAAAACTAAAGCATAGACTTAAATAAAAACACACATAAATATAGAGGATCTAACATAAATAACCTAAAAAAATTACAACTAAAACTAAAGTTGGGAAAACAACGAAATTAGGACAATTACAAAATGACAGAATTCGAAAACATAACTAAATATGACTTAAGTATAAATAAAATCTAAACCTATGAGGACTAAATACTAATTTACCCAAAAAATTAACATGAAACTTAAATGAAAACTAACCTACCAGCTACACTAACTTACGCAGAACCCAAACTATTTAATATTAAACCTAAGTAAACTGCCAAACTATTCTAATCTTCAAACAGAACATGCCTAGCCGCACTCCTAATTTCCTTCTTCCCTTTCTTCGCATACTGCCGATCTCTTTCTCGGCCATGCATGGCGCATCTCTCAACTACCATAGCTTCTAGCCGCATAAATCTATTCTACATGGCACTATCGACAACCATAGAAGTTAAAAAAAAAACAAACCGACCCTATCCTATTTCCTCCATACCCATGAACGCCGCCGTGATACCCAAAACCGAGTACTCTGATCTTCACCTTCGATTGCCGGATAATCCAGAAACGAATTTAAACCGACCCTAAATTCTCTTATTCTCGCCATTTTAATACCTCCCGAACACTAAGACCCTGCGCACCCTCAATCTTGCTGACGAATTCGACAACAAACAACGATGCGTTGCGAGGTAAACTATTTAGACCCTTCTCTTCTTATTATTACGCAAACTACTGACCAGAAAAGGAGGCCGATTGTCACTCTTCTCCTTCAAACACCATTGCCGTCGAGAGTTCTCCAGACGAAAATTGCAAAGACTGGTAAACTCACTTAAGAATTCGCCTCTAACTTATGAATGGTGGCTACTCAAGGAAACCTAACTCTCATTAACATCCCAACTACACACTATGATAGCCACAATACCAGTAAAAAAAAAACAAAACTAAGCAATACAACGTAACTAGTTCATCTTCTCTGTATTTTCACTTACTTAGAAATAAAAACATTCATGGAAATTGCTAGCAATTAAATTAAAGATAGGAAATACCAAGAAAATTGCTCCTTGCTTAAGATTGCTTTCCTGAAAAATGAGTCTGTTACACTGCTTGATCTCTTTCTCCCTATATGTTTTCTGTTTTTTTTTTAGCAATGGTCTCCGATTCCTCTCTCGCTTTTTTTTTTTGCTCTCTAACCCTTCCCCCCGTTTTTTCTCTCCTGTCATGGTAATAACCCTCTCAAAACTGACTATTTACAGTTTTTTAATTCCCCATTATCTAATTATTTCAACTGCTAAAAAACCAACCTCGATCTCTTTCTTTTTCTGCATCCAACTGTTGTCAATTGGTCTTGAGCTGGACCTTCATCTGGTTTGGGCTCATCTGAGCTCTCATTGCTTCGGGTCTGCTCCGACTTGGCCCCGGACAGAAACGAGCATCTACAGAACTGAGATAAATAGTAGTGTGTATGAGAAGAAACAAAGAACCGTGCCTGAGCTTGTTCAATTGCATTGCGAGACTATCCGACTGCGACTCGCAAATGTCACTAGGATTTCATCTGACTCGGACAATAAGGATATTTGCTATATAAATGGGGAATTAGTGAATAAATTTTCATCTTTAATGGTCGTGTTTCTGCTAATGCAGCTGTTATAACTTGTGTGAGCCTTCCCAGTTCTTTGGGTAACAATAAACTTTCAATTATCCAAAGGGCAGCACTTTCCCTAAGAGCGACAACTGAAAGTCTCCATAATTCATGAACTATAAAGATATTGCCAATAAAAAATGCCTAACTAGCTGAACCCTAAAATCATAATGTGTCGGGGGCCTAAATTGAAATTTTCATCAATAATTAGAATTTCAGATGAAAATAATTGAATGATCATACCAGAAACACAAGAACAAGACCCGAAAGTAAACAAGCGGCGGATGCGTATAATCTCTGAATCAAACAATGAATACCCATAACTTGAATTTCTGAAAAAATGAAACATGTAATCTGAAGGAAGTGGAAATTCAAAGTGTTGAAAAGTGAAAACAAAGGAATGAATGAATGAAGAAAAATAACAGAATTACCTGCGTCGCAGATAGTGAGCATAAGCCACAATTCCTCCTAACTGTTCTTCGGTTTCTTCTTTTTCTCGTTTTCTTTATGTTTTGTTCTAATCAAATTAGGGGTAAACTACACATATAGTATCTAAACTATCAGTTTTGGTTCATTTAAATACCTAAATTGTTAAATTTTTCAAAACGATACATAGCATTCAATTTTCATTTCATTTTAGTTTCCGTCATTAAAAACTTAACATGTTTAGTATCTAAACTATTAGTTTTGTCCACTTAGTACCTAAACTTTTAATATTTTTCAAAAATTAACGTTGAATTCGAACGAAATACTAAAATGAAACAAAAACTAAAGTTTTTAACGATTGTATAATAAAATAAAATAAAAACTAAATTTTATGTATAATTTTGAAAAAAATTAAAAGTTTAGATATTAAAATAGACCAAAACTAATGTTTAATCAAGTTTTATTTTTTCTCACTAAAGTTTCAAAAATAACAAATTGGTATTTTTTTATTAATATGGGGTAAGTACAAAACAATATCTATTCATAGATAATTTTCCGCCATTTGTTATCGAATGCTCACATCATTTCTATTCATGGTGCTTGAAACTGAGATCTCAAAGAATAATGATAATTCCTTTACTATCGATGTCGCTTGGTTCGTGCTCATTGAACAACTTTAATGGTAAAAGAAAGTGTTATTCTCTCTAAAATTTTCGGATTCAATTCATTTGTATCTGCATGATGTATATACATTATAAAAGTTAATAAAAATTCTAAATAAATATTATTTTGTAATAATCTCACGCTTTGTTTAAGACTTATATTAAAATAACCGGATGTGTATAATGACTTGGATAGTATAATAACTTGACCATAATTGTGATAGTATACTATAAGATTGATGGGGAAAGAAGGATTATTAGAGATTAAAGATGATAAAAATGAATTGTTGTTAAAATTGATTTAAAACAAATTTTATTTGGTCAAACGTCGGGTTAGAATCGATCAAGAAATTTAACAATTAAATTATTAAAAGTATATATAAAAATTCATTAGAGGTCCCCATACTTTTTAAAAAAATTAATGTCTCTCGTATTATTTTTTCTCTTAATGTGTGGCCCTTTAACTCAGAAAATAAATTCAATGTGATCCTTTGACCAACGTTTTTCGTCATTGACCATTATGTTAATGACGTGATAGTTCACAATGCTAACCTGATAGTTCACATTGCTAACTTGATAATTCACATTGCTAACGTGACAATCTACGGTATTAATGTGACAGTGTAGAGTGATAGATTAACGTGGTGTATGACATGATAGATGGACTAAGTTGGCAAGTCAAACATGAAAGATGGACTGCTATGTCAACACCGTGACAGTACTGTAACAATCAACAACGAAAATTATTGGTCAAAGGGTCACATTAAATTTGTTTTATGAGTTTGAAGGTTATATTGAGAAAAAAAATTAATATGAAGATTATATTTTTTCCCCAAAAATACGTAGACCACTTATGTCTTTTTACCGAAATAAAAAATGAAATTTCGGTGATGAAAATTAAATATTTATCATACTTATGGTATCTTATCATCATAATTAAATAAGCAAATTAGTATTAACTTAGGGACAAGACCGTAATAGGAGTAAATCTCAAGGGTTAATCCTATCAGATCGACAAAACATCCCAAGTCCACTCGAGGTCAAATTAACTCGAATTATACGAACCAAAAAGGAGCCCATTAAAACACAGTGGCACCTTCCCTAAAACACCCTCATCATCTTCGTCAAACTCAAACCCCCAAAATTCTTTCACGCTACCCTCCTTGGTAATTTCCCTCATTATCTAAACAGCCCCCGCCCGCGCCTCCACTTTCCGCCAATATATTATTTTCAGTTCACCGTTACTTATTCGCCGTGAGGGTGCGCGCCGCGTTTACTCGTATTAAGCTCGATTAGGGTTTCCACCGGCATTTATTGTCGTCCTTTTTCGAGAATCAACGTTAAGCAACCTCGACGGATTCTATGTTTGGGTTTTATATCGAATATTGATTTGATATTGGTGTTTCTTATTTGATTCAGAGGGTTTTGTGTTCTATTGTTATTTTTATTTTCTGGGTAGGATTTTTTGGGGCTGAGGTGATGCCGCGAAGTTCAAGGCACAATCTAGCAAGCATAGTTCTAGGGATGCTAGGGACTACTCAGATTCGGAGAAAGATTTGAGCTTAAAGGAGAAGGAGAAAAAGAGCAAGGAAGAGAGCAGTGGTAAGTTTTCAAAGAAGCCTGGATCCGTTGAGAAGAGAAAGCTCGACTCCAAGGATACCAGCAAGGAACTATGGATTTCGGAGAACGGAGATTATGTGGAGTACAGTTCCTCAAAGCGGCGCAAAGATAAGGCAGACGACAGAGTAAGCGACCGGTGGAACGGCGGTGAAGACGATGGTAAAGTAGAGAAGAAGTCCAGGAGTTCAAGTGAATCGAAGAGTAAGAGAAGAGAGGATGCAGAAGGAGATGATACAAAGAGGAGTAAAAGTGAGGGGAAGCATCGAGAATCCAGTAGAAAGGAGGAAAGGGAGAGAGAAAAGAAAGGTAAAGAAGGAAAGAGTGATAGGTTGATTGAGAGTGAGGATCACCGCCCTCTGAGACAATCCGCTGAAAGAACTGGTAAGATTACTATAACTTTCTTGGTTGTTTAGTAGCAATGTTCCTATATTGGTGCTGCTTTTTGTTGTTAGGCAGTGTATATTCCTATAGATTGTTTTAGGAGATACCATATTCTACACTGAATAGGGATAATGTTTATGTAACTTCAGAACCTTTATAAGTTTATAACTTGTTATATAACTTTATTGAACAGGGAAACTATTGATTGTTATGTAACTTTGTAACTTGCTCCGTGAGTTGGACTGTACTTATTTTTAAAGGATCTTCAGAACCTTTTGCATTTGTAATTAGAGTAGTCATTTTATTCAGTAGAAAGAATAAATTAGCAATCCCCTCTATTGCTAACTTTCAATCAACAAACTTGAGAGGAAAGCTAGTCGTAATCAATATCTCACAAATGTATCCACGCCCACGGTTGTGTGTGTGTAAACTCTCAGAAAGCATGTTAAGCTGATATTTCTATTATAGGAAGTTTAAATTCAAACTACATAATTTTAAGAGTCAGAGTTATCTGATTTAAGAACTTTAGTTGTTATAAGAAGCAAAGAAGAAAAGCAGATGTTTGGGAGGATGAATGGTTGGGTCGACGAACCTAAAGAGTAGCTGACATAATTGAAGTTAGTGGAAGAAGATTGTTTCTACTGATTAGTTCTTATGATGTTTGGAAGGTGTTACTTTTGCATTGTTTTATAGCCTTCTGAATACTGTAATAAGCAACTAATGTTTGACCTTAAAATTTGGTGCATTGTTCTCTTTCTACATTGACAATCACCCTGTGTTTGAGGCATTAGAGCAATGGTGTATGAACCAGGATTACGTTGCTTATCTTTTTAATTTTTTATATTCAAAATTAAATTTAAATTGTTTGTTAGCCTTCAACTGTAGATATTCCTATTGACTGGTTTACTTGTTTCTGGGAATTAGGTTGAAAGGGATCCAATTTTGAAAATTTCATTGGGGTCTCCAATATTTAATTTTTCTATTAGCTACCGAGTGTTGTTTTAAAAGTCCTATGTACATGGTTCCTGTTTTCGATAAGGGAATAATTTGTATGTAAATTTTGAGAAGAATTTACTGGGTTTAGCTGGAAATTGCCACACTTCTTTTGCACTTAGGAGTGCATTTATATGTGTTTTTCAAAGTGTATGAAATCAATTTCGAACTTAGGAAACCTTGTTTAGCTAAGTTTGGTCTGAGCCTGCAGGGATCTATGTACATAAAATTCTATGGTCCTGGTTTTATCCTCCAGTTGAGCCTCAAATACCTTGAAGGTAATGAAGGTATTGCCTTGATGATGTTATTTTGAATCTCAATAATGGTATACTGGGACTTTGAAGGAAGTTTTAGAAGGTGATAAAATATGATGAGAAGGGACTTTGAAGTGCTAACTCGTTATATCTCTTTTCTTTGTCATTTCAGAGTTGCATGTACCAGATCGGTTGCAAAGTCCTGAATCAGACAGCCTGCATGAGAGACAAATTAGGAAAAAGAGAGATGCTTCTGATGATGGTGATAAGCATTTGGAAGATAATGGAGGTATTTTGGATAGACAGTTGTCCATAAGCAGTGATACTGGAAAAGATGCAAGAGCAAAGGATGAGAGTTACAAAGACAAGTATCGAGAAGACATGAACTGTGAAGATAAGTGCCGAGATAATAAGCTGAGAGGTGATCGATCAGCAAGTGATCTTGCTAATAGTAAGTCCAGTGAGAAGCATTTAAGGGATGGAAAAGATAATGCGAAAGTTAAGCAGAAAAAGTCCAAGGTTCAAGATAGTGACTTTGAGCGTGACCACGACCATGATAGAGAGCGTGATCGTGATAGAGACCATGAGCACGACCTGGAGCGTGAGCGGTATTGCGATCTTGATCGGGACCATTATCGAGATCATGACCGCAACCGTGATCATGACCATGACCGTGATTATGATTATAAATGGGATCGAGAACGTGATCGCCATTGCAATGATCGGGACAAAGATAGAGATCACGACCGTGATGAACATGATGAACGGAGGAGTGCGAGATACAAAGATAGTAAGGGAAGGAAACGATCTCCTGATGACCGAGATGATGGTATTGGTAGTAATACTAAATCTAGAAGTACCAAATTACACTACTCTGTCATGAATATTAAATCATCAACTTCTGGTAGAGTGGAGGTAGATTCTGATAGGGGAAGGTCTCAGTCACACCCTGCCAATTTTGATGCTTCTACAGGCAGCAGCAGAAGGAGAGCTTCTCCCAGCTCGATTTCCCATGGTGGGACTGATGAGTATAGGTACTTTGTTTCTTTATCATGCCCTTGCCAATATTGTTGATTCATTCTATGGTTTAAATGGTAAACTGAGCAAATAATGTATGGCATTGAGCTCTTAAATTCTATCAGATATTCAGATTATTGTTTGACAAACCAAACTGATTTTTTTTCCTTCCCATTGTCTGTGGCATATTACTTATTTTTCGTGCACGTCGGTATATCCCCACCACTCTTCAAAGTGCTTTATTGAGTATAATTGAGTTATTTTCTCTTACAGACATTTGAAACAAGAAGATTCAAATTATAGAGATCAAAAGACAGAGCAGAGGTCCAAAGCAGCTTCATCAAGAGAGGTAACTAGTTTAACACCTGAGAGAGGTACTAAGTACAGAACCATGGAGAAATCAAATAGGGTAGATGAGGGCCATTTTGGGGAGTTACCAATTGAGAGGTCCTCAAGTTCAAAAGCTTCCCCAATGAGTATGAAGGAAAGATCTCCTTCAACAAGTCTTGAGCGTAGATATATGAGTCGAAGTGGTGTTAAGTGGGATCTTGATATAGAGGAGACGGGATGGACTAATGCCTCATCTGGTGGCAGAGAGGAGGATAATAAACTTAGTCGAGACATACCTCCTGAGAAACCTCTTTTGGATGGATCCTTTCAAGCAGATTCTGTGTTCTATAATAAAGCTGGTCAGGGCAACTCATCTTTGATTTCACACCCACCTGGTTTAAGACCTGGAATTGGCAGCCCCTCTTTCATGGGGTCTATAGAAGAAGATAATAGATTTAATAACAACGGTCGTTACAAGAGGAGTGGTAATCTAAATGTTAGAAGAGGGCATGCAAATGGTTGGAGGGGTGCCCCAAACTGGCCAGCACCTGTTCCAAATGGTTTCATCCCATTTCAACCTGGGCCACCCCATGGTGGTTTTCAAGCTATGATTCCACACTTTCGTTCTCCATCGCTGTTTGGCGTTAGACCCTCAATGGAAATTAACCACTCTGGGATTCCATATCACATTCCCGATGCCGAAAGTTTTAGCAATCATTTGCGCCCAATGGGCTGGCAGAATACAATGGATGGTTCTGGTCCTGCCCCTTTTCACTGCTGGGATGGCCACAATGTCAATTTTAGGGATGAAGGGCACATGTTTGGGCCCCCTGAATGGGACCAGAGTAGGCATACAGTGAATGGTCGGGGATGGGATACCGGTTCGGATGTGTGGAAAGGACAAAATGGTGATTCTGACTTACCCGCAACATCTCAGAAAGAGGACCATCCTCTGCAGGTCACTCTTGATGATGTATATGATGGACCAGAGTCTCAATATGAAAATGGCAATAATTGTGTTCAGGTGAAAGGTCTTGAAATAAGATCTGATGTCTTGTCACCAATCGATGGATCTTCTCGATTTTCATCTGAGATTCCACATAAGGCACCTGATTCTTCTAAAATATCATGCGAAGATAATGACGCTTGCTGTTGTCAGGCTTATCTTTGCAAGCTTGACATTTCAGCAGAACTAGCTGGTTCTGAATTGTATGATCAGTGTATGAGTTTGATGAATATGCAGAGAAATAAAGATTTGTCTAAAGATGTAATAATGCTTGTGACTTTGAAGGTATAGAACCCTTTCTCTATACAAATCTTAGTATCTAAATTTGCTGATCTTTGACTTATGATACCCTTTTTTTCAGAATGGTGGACGACCAATACAAAATACTTCCATTGCTGTACTGAGCCCTTCACTCATTCCTCCAGCTAATGCTTCTGTTTTTCGGGTACTTGGGGTTAGCTCGTATATGTATATGCTCATGTGTATCTAAGATCTTTCTTTTCTGTTACTTCTTTGGTCAGACGAGTTAAACATGCCTGGGCTTGGTTTCTGTTCTTTTTACTTCGTCTCTCTCTTTCTTATATATATATATATATATTTGGGGGGGGGGGACGTTCATCTGGAAGTAGGAAATAGTTGGTTTTTGTCGGAGGGATAGAATTATGACATACTTTACAAAAATCTGGCCTGGGGAATGTTTCCTTTCTCAACGGTTTACCTATTTTGGACCTAAAGGTCCATACTAATTTATAATCTTTCTAATACTTATGAGCAACAATATTCTTCAGCTCCTGTCTGGAATGTTGAGACTTATCCTCCCCCAGAGTAAACATAGTAATTTCTACTTCAGCTTTCAACTTCTGATTCTAAACTAATGATGGTGTTTCACTTATGTTTTCGGACTTGCAGAGAGCCATGGTCCTCTACAAGAAACACCAGCTACAGGTGGGTGCTGTCCCTAATGTCAATGGTAGAACGTTAGCATTTACTTCAGCGACTATGAAGGGGAAGGAGCAAAGTTCTGATCATGTTGTAGACCTAGCGGAGAAGTCAGGTCCGATTTCCGATGCAGAAATGGTGGATTCCGAGATGCTAGATTCAGATCAGCGGAAAGGAGAGGCAGTTCGAACTGCCACATGTCACGAGAATATGGAACAGCTAGCTTCAACCCAAAGCAGGGAGTTACTGGATCATCCAGATAGCCTTTCTCCAGAAAAACCAGAACTGCCAAATACTGATTTTGGTCACATGAACGTGGAGGTCCCTAAACCAGTTTTGAATGGCAATAAGACGGAGGAGTCCGAGACTGATCAGATGAATTCAGGGGATGCAGCCGGAGATCCTTTGCAGTCGCTTGATAATGCAGCAGATGCTGTTCATTTGGCAGCCGATGAGGAAAATTCAAACGATATAAACAAAACTGAAGGTAATAGTTCTGTGAATTGTGTCAAGGGAACACATACCTCTTGTGATTCAATTAGTGGTTCTTTAAATGAGTCTCCCCAGGTAAACGAGTCCGTAATTTCAAGTCTGATACATCACTCACCTGAAAGTACACATTGAGACGATTTCTATATCATTGTTCTTTTATGAGCATTTTAATTCATGGTTTTCCTCTTCTTTTTGTCGCGTATCGATATCTAGCAAATAAATTCTGATATGCCATCCGGTTTCCTGGATTAGGCATCCTTGCATCTTGATTTATATACTCTGCTTGTTCTGCTGTATTCTATGTTGATGCATTTAACTTTCCTTGTTTCTTCCCAAATCATCTCTGGTAAAATGCCATGATTTTGATTTAATAATGGTTTCCTTTGTACGAACTTAACGATCTGGGTGGAAAAAATATTATTGTTCTTTGAGGTCCCAAGTTTGAACACCAGGAACGTCAAGGTGTGGGCATATGCATTTTTGTCACCAAGCTTTTAAAACTTGCATTGGAGTCACTGTACTTTTAATTCTTTCTTCAAAAGTGGTAAAATCCTTGCCACATTCACTTAATTTTTCACCAATAAGATGATGTTGCCATCTTATTGGTGAGTATTATATATTGAGAAAAATGCAAGCGCTCTAAAAGTTTATGAATGGTTCAAAAAATCTAATTAAGGATGAAAATGGAGATAAACATGCATAAAATTTAGGGTAAATTGCACATTCAGTACTTAATCTATTAGTTTTTGTTTGTTTTAGTAATAAAATTTTTAATTTTTTCAAAATCATATTTAAAGTTTAGTTTTTATTTTATTTTAGTATGCCATCGTTAAAATATTTAGTTTTTTTTAGTATCTCGTTCAAAATTTAGCGTTAAGTAAATTGAAAGTTTAGGTACTAAAATGGGTTAAAATTAATAGTTTAGGTACTAAAAGTGTTAGGTTTTTAACATAGGATACTAAAATGAAATGAAAATTAAACGTTAAGTCTGTTTTTGAAAAAATTAAAAGTTTAGATATTAAGATTGATCAAAATTAATAACTCAAGTGTTAAATGTGTAGTTAACCCTAAGATTTTTTTAAAGAAACAAACTATAATTTATAGCGTTTGCTAAAATTGTTTTTATATGATTATAATTTTGTCAAAACCGTTCATTATCGATGATTTCTTTGAAATTATGCATAGTTTATCTAGTTTGGATTAATTAAATAAGTGAAAATAGATAAATTACATTAAATTATATATATTATATCAAAAGAAATATGCATATTTATATGCTAAAGAGGTGAAACATGCATCTTTTATACACAATAAATTTATTTTATCGTAATTCAATTTTCCATTTGATTTAATTTATTTTATACATATTTATCCTAACAAATAAATTCGTAACCATCTTAACAAATATATTTTTATTTTAATTCAAAATTTCAATTAATTTAATTTATATCCTTTTTTTATCTTAACAAATAAAGATTTTAATAAATTCGTAATCATCTAAGAATGACTTTAACTGATAAATTTTATGGCAAATTACGTATTTAAGATCTAATTATCAGTTTTGATTCATTTTTGTATCTAAACTTTCAATTTTTTAAAAAATTATACCTAATTTTTACTTTTTGTTTTATTTTAATACCCGGCGTTAAAAGGTTAACATGTTTAGTACCTAAACTATTAGTTTTGGTCTGTTTTAGTACTTAAACTTTCAATTTTGAACGGGGTATTTAAATGAAACAAAAAACTAAACTTAGGTATGATTTGAAACAATTGAAAGTTTATGTACTAAAACGGATCCAAACTGATAATTTAAATACTAAACACAATGTACCCAAAATTTTAACCTAAGCCACCAAGTCAAGGACAAGACAGTGATACTATTAAATCTCAAGGGTTAACCTTGTCATTCGACAAAATTATCCGAAGCCTACTTCGAGTCTAATTAACTGAATTATATTTTAAAAAACAAGAAAACACAAAGGCGCAGTCTGATTTCTTCACTTGTTCAAAATCACATAATCTTTTATCATTTCTCCCAAAAACGCCCCAAAATTCTTGAACCCTATCCTCCCTCGTTATTTCCCCATTCTCGATCTAGTTATCTTAATTCATAACCGCCTCCACTCGCCTCCGTTCTTCGCCACCTTCACTCCTGTTCCGTGCAATTAGGGTTTCAACCGTCCTTTCTGTCGTATTTTTTTTCGAGAATCGACGCCGGTTACATTGAAAGATTCAATTTGAGGGCTTTTGTATTGAATGTTGATCTGAGGTTGGTGTTTTGTTTTTTATTTTGACCGGTTAGGATTTTTTGCGTTTGAGTTCTCGTAGTGGGGCTCCGGTGATGCCGCGAAGTTCAAGGCACAAATCCAGCAAGCATAGTTCTAGGGATTCTAAGGACTACTCGGATTCGGAGAGAGAATCGGGCTTAAAGGAGGAGAAAAATACTAAGGAGAAGAGCAAGCCTGGATCCGGTGAGAAGAGAAAGCTCGACTCCAAGGATACCAGCAAAGACGTTTGGATTTCGGGGAATGGAGATTATTTGGAGGAGTACAGTTCCTCAAAGCGCCGCAGAGAGAAGGTGGATGATGGAGCAAGTGACCGGTGGAATGGCAATGAAGACGATGGTAAAGGCGAGAAGAAGTCCAGGACTTCAAGTGAATCGAAGAGTAAAAGACGAGAGGATGCAGAAGGAGATGATACAAAGAGGAGTAGAAGTGAGGGGAGGTATCGAGAATCCAGTAGAAGGGAGGAAAGGGAGAGAGAAAAGAAAGGTAAAGAAGGAAAGTGTTATAGGCCAATTGAGAGCGAGGAACACCGCCCTGTGAGACAATCCGCTGAAAGAAATGGTAAGATAACTATTGTTTGTTGGTTGTTTAGTGGCAATTTAGCATGAACAATTGTGCATTTCTAATTATTTTGGTGTTACTTGTGTTAGGTTGTGTAATTGCTATTGATTGTTTTACTATTTTTAGTATATATTGCCATCAAGTATATATTGATTGTTACATAGGGACAATATTAATGAGTCGCAGAACCATTATAACCTGTTATATAACTTCATCGAAGAGGATACTATCTATTGTTACATAACTTTATTACTTGCCTTTTGAGTTGGACTTGCAGTAAAGAATCTTCAGAACCTTTTGCATTTGCAATTAATGACTAGTCAGTCTTAATTAATGCCTCATAAATACATCCACATTTTTGCGTGAATATAATATATATAGACTCTCCAAAAGCATATCAAGTTGATTGAGGAAGTTAAAATTCAAAACCAAAGTGCCAACGGTTATCTGATTTATGAACTCTTATTTGCTGCAAGAGGCAAAAAGGAAAAGTAGATGTTTTGTTTGCAGGATGAGGGGATGGGTTGAGGAATTTATAGAGTAGGTGATATAGTTGCAATTAATGGGAGAATATTGTTGCTACCGATTAGTTTTTATGGTAGTGGAAAGGTGTGTATTTTGTATTGTTTTATGGCCTTCTGAGTACTGTTATAAAACAACTAATATATGATCTTAAAACTTGGTGTATTATTCTCTCTGAGCATTGTGATGCATCCTGTGTCTGAATTCCTTGACCAATGATTTATGGACCAGGATTAGGTTGCTTATTACTTTCTTCAATTTTTATCTTCAGTGTTAACTTGAAACTGTTGATTAACCTTTTCCAGTTAATATTCCTTTTGGCTTGCTTCCTGTTTCTAATTATTGGTTTGCTAGGAATCCAATTTTGAAAATTTCATTGATCTCCAATATGTAATTTTCTATTAGCTGCAGAGTGTTATTTTAAAATTACTTTTCCATACTCAGTTCTCTGTTTCAGATAAGAGTATCATTTATATGTAAATTTAGAGGAAGATCTGATGGGTTAAGCTTGAAGTTGTCACACTTAATGTGCACTTAGAAGTGCTTTTATATGTGATTTTCTAAATATGTGAAACCAATTTACCAACTTCTGTTTTACTCAGTGCGGTTAGTTGGCCTTTAATTGAGGCTAATATAAAATGGTTGTGCTGTTTTAGCTCAAATTTGGTAGTGCTTTGTTTCTGATTTTATTTGGATTTTGACACTGTCACTTTGTTTCTGATTTTATTCGGATTTAATGGTATTGATAGCGTATAGTAGACTCGATAATTTTACTTGTATGATTTTGAATTCTAATATTAAGTCCGTTATCTTTCAGTTTTCTGTTTTGTATTTAGATTTCATATTTTTCGTTGGATTGATTTACATTTTGTGTTATATGCTTAGCTAGGTGTATTATTACGTGTACTTCCTATAGTTTCATGTCTCATGTTTGCAAAAAATTACAACTTTTATGATCATAAGATCATTACCGAGTCATTATTGTCAAAAGAGTATTTTGTAATATTTTTGAAATCAAACTTTAACTTCTGCGGTGTTTTCTATTAATAGGCTCTTAAATACTCTTGGTAACGTCTAAGTTTTTTTTTTAAGATTCGAATGTACTAGATCAATTGAAAAGTCCTGAATCAGAGAGCCAGCTTGATAGACGATTTAGGAAAAGGACAAATGCTTCGGGTGATGGGGATAAGTGTCTGGAAGATAATGGAGACTTGGACGGACAGTTTTCTGTAAGCAATGGTACTGGCAAAGATGGCAGAGTGAAAGATGAGAAGCATAAGGATGAAACATACAAGGATAAGTATCAAGAAGACATGGACTGTGAAGACAAATGGCAAGGTGATAAGTTGAGAGATGATCCATCAGCAAGTGAACATGGTAATTGTAAGTCTAGTGAGAAGCATTTAAGGGATGGAAAAGATGATGTGAAAGCTCGGCAGAAGTCCAAGACTCAAGATTGTGACTTTGAGTGTGATCGTGTCCATGATAAAGAGCGTGATCGTGAACGTTATAGAGAGCGAGACATGGGACGCGAGCATGAACGTTATCGTGACCATTATCGAGAACGTGACCGTTACCGTGATCATGACTATGATCGTGATTATGATTCTCAATGGGACCGAGACCGAGAACGTGATCGACGTAACAGTGATCGTGACAAGGATAGAGATTGTGACCGTGTTGAACATGATGAACGGAGGAGTGCTAGATACAAAGATAGTAAGGGAAGGAAGCGATCTCCTGATGATGGTACTGATACAAAATGTAGAGGTGCCAAAGTACATTATTCTGACATGGAAAATAAATCGATTTCTGGTCGACTTGAGGGAGATGCTGATAGGGGAAGGTCTCAGTCACGTCCAGCCAATTTAGATGCAGTTATGGGTAGCAGCAGAAGGAGGGCTTCTCCCAGCTCAAGTTCCCACGGTGGGACTGATGGGTATAGGTACTTTGTTTCTTTATCACACCCTCTTTTTTTTTTATAGGAATAATAGGCCTCATTAAAAACCTCCCTCTTAGTTAGCTCTTGGAAAGAGTAACTATCGGAAGGAGGAAAAGAGTGCCTTAGTTTATTGAATAGAGAAACTATTACAATAAATTATACCAATACAATTAGGGCATCAGAATAAAACTATAATCTTAAAACACCCTATAAAAATACCCTTACAATCAACCAATCCCATCCTTAGCTAATTTATCTGCTTCCCAATTACATCCCCTAGGAATCCATCGAATAATAATCCCCTCATGAACTAAGGACACAATATCCTCAACAAGTGAACTGAAGAAACTAGGAACAGAATTAGGCAGCAGAATCCAGTCTACAGCAGATTTACAGTCACTTTCTAGGATCAATCTTCCCTTTGCCGCCCAATCTGATGATAGGAAATGTCTAGGCCTTTCTTAATAGCTTTTAGTTCAGCCAACGGAGGAGGGCCTGGACCAATACTAACAGAGAAGGTCGATAGGATAATGCTATTACAATCTCTCAAAATACCTCCAATTCCTCCCTTTATCACACCTCTTCAATATGATTGATTCCTTGTTCCAAGTATAATTAAGTTATTTTCTTTTACAGGCATTTGAAACAAGACGATTTGAATTATAGAGATCCAATGACGGAGCAAGCAGCTTCATCAAGAGAGGTTACTAATTTTTCTAAAACATCCGAGAGAGGTGCTAGGTACAGATCCACAGAGAAATCAAGTAGGGTGGATGAGGGCCACTATGGGGAGTTTGAGAGGTCCTCAAGTTTAAAAGTATCCCCAGTGAGTAGAAGTGGTGTTAGGCGGGGTATTGATATAGATGAGACTGGATGGAGCAGTGCTTCTGTTGGTGGCAGAGAAGAGGACAATAGACTTTGTCGAGACTTACACCCCGAGAAGCTTCTTTTGGATGGATCCTCTCAAGCAGATTCTGTGTTTTATAATAGAGCTGGTCAAGGCAGCTTATCTTTGAATCCTCAGCCATCTGGTCTAAGAACTAGAGTTGGCAGCCCTTCTTTCACAGGTTCTCCAGAAGAAGATAATAGATTCAATAATAGTGGCCGTTACAAGAGGAGTGGTGATCTGAATGTTAGAAGAGGGCATGCAAATGCTTGGAGGGGTGCCCCAAACTGGCCACCACCTGTTCCAAATGGTTTCATCCCATTCCAGCCTGGGCCACCCCATGGTGGTTTTCAAGCTATGACGCCACAATTTCCTTCTCCATCTCTGTTTGGTGTTAGACCCTCAATGGAAGTTGATCACTCTGGGATTGCGTATCACATACCTGATGCTGAAAGGTTTAACAATCATATGCGTCCTATGCGCTGGCAGAATACGATGGATGGCTCTGTTCCTGCTCATTTTCATGGTCACAATGTTATTTTTAGGGATGAAGCGCATATGTTCAGGAGTTCTGAGTGGGACCAGAACAGGCATCCAGTAAATGGTCGAGGATGGGACACCAGTTCAGGTGTGTGGAAAGGACAAAATGCTCATGTTGACATCCCCTCAACATCTCAGAAAGAGGACCATCCACTGCAGGCTCCTCTTGATGATGTTTATGACGGACAGGATTGTCAGAGGTCTCGATATAAGACTGACAGTGATGGTGTTCAGGTGAAAGGTCTTGAAACAAGATCTGATGTCATGTCACCAGTTAAAGAATCTTCTAGGATTTCACCTGAGATTCCACACAATGCACCTGATTCTTCCAAAACATCAAGCGAAGATCATGATGCCCGTTTTTGTCAGGTTTATCTTTCTAAGCTTGACATTTCAGCAAAACTAGCTGGTTCTGAGTTATATGACCAGTGTATGGGTTTACTGAATGCGGAGAAAAGTAAAGATTTGGCTAAAGATGTAAAAATGCTTGTGAAGTTGAAGGTAGAGAACCCCTTTCTACATAATTCTCTCTCTCAATATCTCATTTAGCTGATCTTTTATTTATAATACCCTTCTGTCAAATTTTCAGAATAGCGCACGATCAGTGCAAATGCCTCCATTCCTGTGTCGAGCCCTTCACTCATTCCTACAACTAATGCTTCTGTTTTTCAGGTACTTAGTGAAGCTCATATCCACGTTACTTCTTTGGTGGGAATAGTTATGCTCACCTTTTTCTTTTAGAAGCTAGGTTTAAACGAGTTTTGTTGGAAGGAAACAGATAGAAGATGTTATACTTTTGTACTTCAGATTCTAAACTAATGGTGGTATTTCACATATGTTCTCTGACTTGCAGAAAGCCATGGCCATCTACAAGAAACAGAGGCTTCAAATGGGTGCTATCCCAATTGTCAATGATGGAATGTTTGCATTTACTTCAGCATCCAAGGAGAAGGGGAAGGAGCAAAGTTCTGATCATGTTGTAGGCGAAGCAGAGGAACCAGTTTCGATGCTTGATTCGGAAATGATGCCAGATTCAGTTCAGCAGAAAGCAGAAGCTGTTCCAATCGCTACATCTGTCGAGAATGTGGAACAGCTAGCTTCAATGCAAGGGGAGTTACCATATCATTTGAATAGCCTCTCTCCTGAGAAATCAGAGCAGCCAAATACTGTTTTTGGTCGAATAAACATAGAGGTGCCTGAGCCTAAACCAGTTTCGGATGGTGATAAGGCGGAAGAGAGGGAGTGTGAGCAGATGAATTCAGGGGATGTAGTTGGAGGTTCTGTACGGTCGCTTGATGGGGAAAATTCAAATGATATAAACAAAACTGAAGGTAATAGTTCTGTATACTGTGCCAATGAAAGAGAGACTTTTGGTGATGCAGTTAGTTGTCCTTTAAATGATTCTCCTAAAGAATTAGAGAATCAGATTCCGGACCAATTGAGTCGGTAATTTTAAGTTTGATACATCATTCTCCTGAAAATACACATTGAGACAATTTCTATATCATTGTTCTTTTATTTGATGCATTTTATTTTGCTTTTGCTGCCCTATCGTTATCGAGCAAATAAAATGAGTTTATGACATCTGGTTTCCTGGATTAGGCATCCTTGCATCTGTTCTATATCTGTCGATGTTGTCAACCCGATCCGATCCCCCCTAGTGTTCGGAAAGGGGTACTCGAGACCCATGAATTTGCCTGCAAATAGCAAGGTGCAGACGTAATAACGCTGATGTTAATGAACAGAGAATTATGAAGCTGTAATCAGAGAGATGGAGTTTGAGATTTGTTTCCCAAAACTTTGAACCATTTTTGTCGAAGCATGTTAACGTATAATAATATATTCAGGTTGAGGCCATGGTTCGAAAAGGTAAGGCGTATCCCTAGTTTAAAGAACAAGAGTCTGGTTCAGAAATGACCTGACCAAACCAAAGCAGACCCATTTTTGCTTGGTTACTTCATCAATCTATGTTCAACCCCAATTAAGGATGGTTATAGGTTGAGTCAGATAGGTTTTTTCAACTTGAATTTAAGGAAAATTTATCTGATTTAAAATTCGAGCTGAATTTAGAGAAATTTCATCTGACTTGAAACCTAACTTAATTTTTGAGGTAAAATAAGGATCTAATTAAAAAAATAAAGAATAATATTATAAGAATTATTCTTAAACATATAAAGATAAATTATATTATTATTTCCGATTAGGGATATATCAAATATATTTTACTCTTAAATCAACTTGACTTGGCCAATGAATGTTGGTACAAGTGGTTGAGATTCATGAATTTGAATTTTTGAATTTATAAAGTCAAGCTCGAATCTTACTATCATCACTATTGATGGGTAATATGTAAATTCTTAGATAAATCCTAATAAGAGAAAAGGAGGTTTGACTTCCAGCTGCTAAGTCAAGAAAAAAAAGGAGGTTTGACTTCAAGGATATTTAAGAAAATTCCAAGGACACAATACCCAAGAAATTCCCATTACAAATACCCCATTATAATTCTTCAGAAGGGAGAGATTTTCAGAGAAAAAAATACCTAGGCTTGGAAAAAGGCGACCACGACTTCCTTTTTTTTCCATCATCCTCTTTCAACCCGTCTTTGGTGTCCTTCATAGCCAGATTATAGCGGAGCGGCGTTCAGGCCTCGAGAGAGGCTGGCTGTCCGAGCAGGCGTGGTGATGGTCAGAGATGTCACGACATAACACTATTTGGGAGTTTTTCTTTGTTCTTAATTTCTTTATTATGTTTTGGGCGTGTACTTTAAGGATGATATTTTTTATGATACTTTTGCCACACCATAATTTGCTTTACATGGTGTTGGTTTTTGTTTGTCTATACAATTATTTGATCGTTAATGAATGATGCATTATGATTTTGCTTAGTCTGTTTTATCCATTGTTTTAATATTTTGCCTTGACACTGTAAGAGCCTTCGAGAGATTGCCTGGTGGCTAGACGAAACATTTCTAGACCTTGTAAGAGCTTTCAAGAGACTGTCGTTTTTCTAGAAATTGCTTCTTAGATTCAAGAGAATTAAGATAGATCTACGTGAACAATGGAATAGACCCGCGATAGTGATGTTCTAAGCCGTCTTAGAGATAGGAGAGAGTTTCAATCGACTAAAAGAGATAAACGCTTGAGTATGATAGACAACTACTATAGTTCACACTGAGGGGTATTGTCGCAACAACAGTCTGACAAACCAAGGGTTGTAGCTCACGCCGAGTAGTATTACCATAACAACCGTCCTAGAATACTCTAGTAATCTTGTCGGGCAGCCTAAACATATCGCAACAAATCCTTCCAAACTTAGAATAATTTCTCGCCATAGCAAAACCAACTTAAGTGCTCTGTGAAAAGTCTGAATATGTGAGGTTATTTTGAATATATTTGAATCCACGTTTTTATTTGCCTGACTATTTTTATTTGTTGCTCTTGGATATTTTCTTTGCCTCGGCCAAATTTTTCTGCAACCACACTTTACAATATTTTCTTGCCTTAGCAATACTTTGCCACATGTTCATATAACCCATTACTAATTGTTTCTTTGTTTTGACAAGAATTTAGAGATTAGCTCGTGGCACCTAGTTCTAGCCGTGGCGAAACATCAAAATCGCTAGCAATCCCTGTGGAGACGATACTCAACTTACTACTATATTACTTGCATCAATTGTGTACACTTGCACAAATTTGCTTGCCTTAACATATACATTTACAAGCGATCAATTTTTTGGCGCCGTTGCCAGGGATTGACAACTGACGGAATTTTGATAATCTTTGTCATAGCAAATTTTTATATTTCTTGTCACATTTTATTTATTTAGTCTAACTTGTTTATTTTCTTATTTTCTTTTGAAGGTTTTTGTCGTTGCATGACCCTGAGATCTGCTGGTGAACCATTAGAACCATTCGACCCTGAGATCGAACAGTCATTCAGACAAAGGTGAAGTAACCAGCGAGCCAGAGATTATATGAATCGACTGCAATATCAAGCTGACAACAATATGGGAGATCAGGCAGATACCGATATCGCGGCAAAAAATCTTCCTAGAGAAGCTGCAAGACCACGAGCAATACAAGATCACTTGAATTCGATTCTTGACGATCTCAATCTCGGCATCGTGGCACCTGAAATACATGCAACCCATTTTAAACTTTTCAGGGGTCATAAAATTGAATTTTTCTGGTTATCCGGTTACCCGAGTACTCTGTTAGGGATATTTTTTAGGGTAAACTACATATTTGATCACTTATATATTATCTAATTTATGTTTTGGTCATTCGATTATTATTTAGGGTAAACTACCTATTTGGTCACTTATATATTATCTAAGTTATGTTTTGGTCACTCAATTATTATTTAGGGTAAACTACCTATTTGGTCACTTATATATTATCTAATTTATGTTTTGGTCACTCAATTATTATTTAGGGTAAACTACCTATTTGGTCACTTATATATTATCTAATTTATGTTTTGGTCACTCGATTATTATTTAGGGTAAACTACCTATTTGGTCACTTATATATCATCTAATTTGTTTTGATCCCTCGATTATTATTTAGGCTAAACTACCTATTTGGTCACTTATATATTATCTAATATAATTCACATATATTTTTATTTAGGGTAAACTACCTATTTGGTCACTTATATATTATCTAATTTATGTTTTGGTCACTCAATTATTATTTTTTTCAAAATTATACCTAACATTACGTTTTGATTCTGTTTTGGTCACCCATATTTAAAAATGAACAATGATGCGAACATGACATTTTTTTTAATTATGTTTGGATGTTGGACTAACATTTTTTTAATTATGTTTGGATGTTGGACTGTGTAATTCGAAGTTTCGAACATTTAAATTTGTTTGTGTGTTTTTAATTAATAATTTGAAGAAAAAAATCAGGTATCCGGGTACCTGATTTCCGGGTACCCGCAACATCCGGGTCAAGACACGGGCCGAGAAATCAATACCCGAAGATCCGGGTACCCGGGGGATTTGCACACCCCTACTCAATTGCATCATTTTATACCCTATCCTACCTTAAAATCATAAACCCTAAACCATAGCTTAGGATTTATAATTTAGGGTTTTTAAGTTAGGAGTAGGATATAAAAGGATGCAATTGAGTAACTTCGAGAATTAAATTGATGCAAAAACACGATAGGGGCGAAAGTGATAAATTAAGTCTACTACAGGGGCAAAGGTGGCCTTAAGTCTTAAATGAACACTTAATCACCGATTATAGTTGAGATCAAAATATAACAATTTGAAACTTCGACACAATTAGCTTGAAACTGCAGCCACTCAAAACCAGTCCAAGTAATGCGAAGTTATAGAGTAGAATATGACTTTCCATGGGATTTCAGTGCATGTAACAAGAAAACAGGATTGAATATTCAATAGAATCCAATCATCAATTGGCAAAGTAAAGAAAGTCTGAAGCTGTTGGTGCTGGGTAATGGACATCCATAGAGCTTTAGTTTCTTTGCAATCCCTTGGGATATGAAGTGAAGTTTCTTCACCGGCGGCACCGTGAATGGAGCAAGAGAGATCATCAGATAAACTCCGATACCATCAATTAAGATTTGAGAGTAGTTTGTCTCCGATACCATCGATTAACGGGAGCCGTCGTCACTTTTCAAATAATCAGAGGCCGAGTTGTGGTATTCAAGAATATCATCGTCATCAGCATCTATCAATTTTGGCAGCACACAATCGTTTTATAATAATTTGATAAATTTAATGATTATTTTGTAACTTTTTAAAACATTAATGATTAAAATGAGTATCTTAGCATAATTTTATTACTTTAGTGTACTTTATCCTATATTATTTTCACTAGTTAAATAATGAAAAACTTTAGAATATTAAAAGCATACACCTAAAGGCATAGAAACAAATGGCTGAAAATGAAGGATGTGGAAAGGATAAGAAAAATGCCATGCATAAAATATTGGAGAAGGCATAATCTAAAAGCACTACATAAAACAAGTAATTAAATACTATTTTTTAAATGCAACCTAATGATCGACTAATATAGATCAGGTATTGCAGAGGTAATGGCAACATTTCCAACCCAGTTTGCTCCATTTGCAATTGTCAGGTTTCGAACATGTGACCTTGTTTAAAGGGATCTAATGCCTCATTCCACTAGACTAACTGGTTGTTGGTTCTATTAAATTGATTTGATCAGTCGAATTTAATTTTTAATTTTAAATTTTAAATTCTATACAATAATGTGGGTGTAATGGTATAGATTCTTGTTGGTGAGATATATTATCCTCATGAAGCACTAAATTAGGGTTTGATTTGGTTTGATTACTTTACTTAAAAGAGGGGCATAAAGCAAAGAGCATAATGACATACTTTTAGTGACAGAGCCATGAAGCACTAAACTAAGAGGGCTCTTGATAAAGGTTATTATCATAAGTTTATTATGCATGCATATCTATATTTTGTTGAATTAATTTTTTTATCGATGCACGAACCAAGTGATTTCGATGGTAAAAGAACTGTTGTTATTCCTTCAGGTTCTGAGTTTGGGTATCAGGAATGTTAGGGGTGTAAACGTTATATGTCAAATGATTGAGAGTCATCTTTAAATAATTATTTTACCTTTGACAAATGATTGAGAGTTGTCACTCATATAATAACAAAGCACTTATATGACAAGATATCAATCTTTGAGTGACAATTAAACTTTCGAGAGTATAAAATAATGGGTAAATTACACATTTAGTACTTAAATTATTAGTTTTGGTCCGTTTTAATATTTTTTTAAATTATACATAATGTTTAGTTTTGTTTCATTTTAATATCCCATCGTAAAAACTTAATGCTTGTAGTACCTAAACTACCATTTTTGGTCCATTTTAGTACCTAAACTTTTATTTTCTTTTTCCAAAACTCAACATTAAATTCTAAAGGGGTACTAGAATGAAATAAAAACTAAACTTTAGGTATAGTTTTGAAAAATTGAAAGTTTAGGTACTAAAACATATCAAAAATGATAGTTTAGGTACTAAATATGTAATTTACCCTAAAATAATCTAGTGACAAATCTTGACAATATGATCGAGTGGCTTTAATCATTTTTTTAAAAAGTTGAGGACTTAATGAGAACTTTTTGAACCGATCTTCACATTTTCCCTCAACTATACCTAATTACCTAATGATCAAAATAATTGAATCCTAACTACTTATCATAAACATACATATAAAAAGAGTTCATACGGATTTTGAAACTTTTAGTTAAAGTTCAATCTTCCCCCACAATCGTTCCTATAAACTTAATAATTAAGTCTTCGATAGAGCTGTCTCGGATTTTTCGGGACCATGAACGAAGACTCAAAAATATGTCTTTATAAAATAAAAGTATATTTTATTGTTTTAAACGATTAATTCAATATTATATAAATAAATCATGGAAAAATGATTAATTTTTGTGAAAATACATTATTTTTTTATTTTATTAAGAAAAAGCTTTAAATACAATTAAGAGGGAATAAATATAGAAAATTGAATATGTGTATGATTCATAGCTTGATTTTGAAAAATAAATAAATAAAAAGAATTGTATATTATTTTATTGTTAGATTGAGATTGAAGAAGACTTACAATTAAAGAATATTTGATAAATTGAATAGAAATATTTGAAAAAAGAGAAAAACACGATTGAATTTAATTCAAAATTGAATGAATTAATAAGTTTTTTTTTTAGATTTGAATGAATTAATAAGTTTTTTTTATATTTGAATGAATTAATAAAAAAAATGGAAAAAGAGGATCAAAAACTAAATTTTTTATAAAATTATAAAACTTAGAGGTCCTAATTATAAATATAGAAAATTGAGGATCCTACTTATAAAAACAAAAATTTTAGGGGCCCTGAGCAACCCCCTTAAAGCCGGCTCTGGTCTTCGACTTGATAACTAAAACTCATTCAATTTATTATTGGATTTTTATAAATTATAAAATATTTATTAAATTTATTGAACTATTGCAAAATAATTATTATGATGTTATTATAATTGATCATAATATAATAGTTCGATAAAATTAAATGATTATTTTATAATTTTTAAAAATATAATGACTAAAATAATTGTTTGATCACAATTAGTAATCTATAATGTATTTAACCCAAAAGAGAAAAAACACAAATCAATGAAAAAGTTCTCTCAACTTTCCTTTGATCTCAGTCTTTCTACTCCCCTTAACGTGGTATATCATATCATATGTTTTTGGGTAAACTATGAAGATAGTCCCTTATGTTTTTGGTCTGATCGACTTTGGTCACCAATTTAAAAATTAAGGGGATGGTCCCTAATGTTATCAATATGTTTGATTATAGTTCCTAACATTATCGATCCATTCGATTTTAATCCCTTAACCGTTAACTCCGTTTGATTTTAGTCCCTCAGCCTTGTTAAGGACTTAAACAAAAGGCGGTTAACAAAATTAATGGCTGAGAGACTAAAATCGAACGGATTGATAACGCTAGGGACCATTTCTCTTTAGTTTTTAAATTGGTGATCAAAGTCGGTCATGTCCTAAACATAGAGGATTATATGCATTTACCCTATATTTTTCTCATATGCCTTTGAGAAAAATAAAATAAATGTAGGGTTTAAATCGCTAACAGTCCTTGAATTCTTATAAAATCAAAAATTTAATCTAAAGACATTGAATCCTTATTTTTTATTTAATTTAATTTTTTTTGACTCAATTGTCTCGGGTTAGAATCTGTCGAGTTCGGATCTCGTACACATCCCTTATTGTATCAAGGGTAAACTACGCAGTTAGTACCTAAACTATCAATTTTAGTTTGTTTTAATACCTAAACTTTCAAATTTTTTAAAATCATACCCAATGTTTTTTTTTGTTTCAATTTATTACCTTACTGTTAAAAACTTAACGCGTTTAGTACATAAACTATAAGTTTTTTGTCGGTTTTATTACCTAAACTTTTAATTTTTTTAAAAATCATACTTAATATTTAGTTTTTGTTTCATTTTATTACCCTGTTGTTAAAAATTAATGCATTTAGTACCTAATATATCAATTTTGGTCCATTTTAATACCTAAATTTTCATTTTTTTTCCAAAAAGGTACTAAAATGAAACAAAAACTAAACTTTAGATATGATTTTCAAAAAAGTAAAAGTTTAGGCTCTAAAATAGATCAAACTGATGATTTAGATACTAAAATTATAATTAATCCTTATACCAATCCAAAAAAAAAAAAAAAGATGGTAAAAGTAAAACGAAGTATAGGGACTAATTTCCAATCCCTTTTACAATGTTCAAGAAAGTGGTGAAAGTAGCGGACAGCTCATTATTGCTGCATAAACTTCAACACCGATCTTCTATTTTACTATCTAATTTCCACCGCCATCTTCTTTTATATAACCCCACCACTCTCTTTACTCCCTTTTATGAACATTCATGTGATCATTACTGAGTTCGCAGACACACAGAGAACAAACTTCAATGGGATACGATCAGCTCCGACGATCGGAGCCTGGAAGTTCCGGGAGCCACCTGCAACAACATGAAGAAGAACCCAGAGCTCGAAACAAGAAGAGAAGGCTTGTTATCGTCTCATTTATTGCTCTGGGAATGATCATTGTCTCAGCTGTTTGTGCTGGACTTGCAGTCGTGATCCGTGAACGAGCTGCCGAGCCGGTTACCGGCGGCGGAGGCGACAGCGCTGCCATGGTTCATCGTAAGCCTACTCAAGCTATTTCCAGGACTTGTGGTAAGACTCGGTTCCCGAACCTTTGTGTTAACTCGCTCCTCCAGTTCCCCGGCTCGCTCACTGCTAGCGAGCAAGACCTCGTCCACATTTCGTTCAACATGACGTTGCGGCAATTCAGTCAGGCTCTTTATCGGACGTCGTTTATCTCGTACGTTAAGATGGATCCACTTGTGCGGTCGGCATTCGACGACTGCCTCGAGCTCCTTGAAGACTCAGTGGATGCCCTCTCCCGGTCTCTCTCCTCCGTCGTTCCTTCCCAGGACGGCGGAGATAACAGAGGCGGGTCGCCACAGGATGTGATGACGTGGCTGAGCTCCGCGTTGACGAACCACGACACGTGCACGGAGGGGTTCGAGGGAGTGAGAGGGGAAGTGAAGTACCAAGTGGCGGCGAAACTGAAGGACTTGTCGGAGCTCGTGAGTAACTGCTTGTCGTTATTCGAGGCGAGCGGTGGGGATGATTTCGGAGGGGTGCCGGTGCAGAACAGACGATTACTGGCGTTGGGTGACGACTTATCGGAAGAAAATATCGACGGGGATAGATTCCCAAAATGGCTGGGGAGGAAGGAGAGACGACTGTTGAGCACTCCGGTGTCGGCGATCCAGGCTGATATAGTGGTTTCGAAAGATGGAAACGGCACCGTTAAGACGATCCTTGAGGCGATCAAAAAGGCGCCGGAATATAGTACTCGGCGGATCATCATATATGTTAGAGCAGGAAGGTAAATTACTGTTGTAATAATTTCAAGGTAGATTACACAAATAGTACTTCATATATAGTATTATTTTATTTCGTCTTCCTATTATTAAACGTTATATAATGATCATTAATTATAGGACATTGTTTTTTAAATCACAATTATTAAAATTTATAAAATGGTTATTTGATTATTTATTGTGTTCTAAACTCGTCATTTTTTATTAAAAAATTGATGGTAGTTTGAGTTCGACGTTAACTTACTGATTGAAATATGATAATCGTTTGAGATTCTGGGATCATCTTATATCATGTCTCATGTAAGAATTTAACGTCCAACTCAAATTGTCATCAATTTTTAATCAGAAAATGACGAGTTTCGAACGTAATAAATAGTCGATTGACTATTTTATAACTTTAATAGTCAAATTACTTAAAAGAATAACATCCTATAGTAAGAGATTATTTTATAATTTTTATAGTTGGAATACTCAGTAATATAATACCCTATCTTTGAGATCATTTATGTACTATTTAAAACTATTTAATTGGTCTTTTTAATTTACAGGTACGAAGAAAAGGATTTGAAGGTGGGGAGGAAGAAAATAAACTTGATGTTCGTCGGTGACGGAAAGGGTAAAACAGTCATTACAGGAGGAAAAAGTGTGTATGACAACATGACCACATTCCATACCGCGTCCTTCGGTAAGTCTACGCTCTACCTTTCTACTAGTAGCACTTTTTAAGGGTAAATATAATTTTGTAGCTGAATTTTATTTTAAAGTTCAATTTAATCCTTTAAGTTTTTTTGATTTAATTATAATTTTAAATTTGAATTTAGTACTTTCATTTTTTTGTTCTAATTAGATTCGATTACTTGGTTTATTGGATCAATTTAGTATTTAAATTTTGTTTTAATTCAGTTAGATAATCAAATTTAACTTTTGGGTAAACTATGCATTTAGTATTTAAACTATTAGTTTTGGTCCATTTTAATACCTAAACTTTCAATTTTTCAAAACCATACCTAAAGTTTTGTTTTTGTTTTATTATAGTACCCCCAACATAAAAACTTAACACGCTAGTACCTAAACTATAAATTTTGATCCATTTTAGTACCTAAACTTTCAAATTCTCAAATATTAAGTTAAATTTTGAACGGGTACTAAAATGAAATAAAAATTAAACTTTAGGCATGATTTTAAAAAATTAAAAGTTTAAGTATTAAAATTAATAATTTAAGTACTAAAAGTATAATTTACCCTTAACTTTTTATCCTAAATAGAAAAGGCACTCACGGGACCAAAAGGTCCAAAACCTTTAAGACATGCATGATGATGTTGTTGAACATGGGCAGTTAAAAACCTTTAAGACATGCATGATGATGAAGTTGAACATGGGCAGTTATTCTAGATAGACAAAGTACTAGATTCTTATGCTCCACTTTCACCGAACCTTATCTCCTCTATCTTTATTTTTTCAAATCGAATTAGAATTTAATTTATAAAAAAATAATTCAAATATAATTGAATCTCGTATGGATTCATTGATTGTTCCGGTTTCGTTTTCTTCCTACAGCTGCAACTGGGGCAGGTTTTATTGCGAGAGACATAACATTCGAGAACTGGGCCGGACCGGCCAAGCACCAGGCCGTGGCGCTTCGTGTAGGGGCAGATCATGCCGTGGTTTACCGATGCAACATTATCGGATACCAAGACACCTTGTACGTTCACTCCAATAGGCAATTTTACCGTGAATGTGATATTTACGGCACAGTCGATTTCATTTTCGGTAACGCCGCAGTGGTGCTCCAGAACTGCAGCATTTACGCCCGAAAACCCATGGCTTTACAGAAGAACACCATCACGGCTCAAAACCGGAAAGACCCGAATCAGAATACGGGGATATCAATCCATGCATCTCGGATTCTGCCCACGCCGGATCTCGTTGCGACCAACGGCAGCTTCCAAACGTACCTAGGCCGTCCGTGGAAACTTTACTCCAGGACCGTGGTCATGTTGTCATACATGAGCACCCACGTTCACCCTAGGGGATGGCTCGAGTGGAACGGCACATTCGCCTTGGATACACTATATTACGGCGAATACATGAACCACGGGCCGGGTGCGGCAATCGGGCAACGGATTGGATGGCCCGGGTATAGAGTCATTACTTCGGAAGTCGAAGCAAGCAAATTTACGGTTCAACAGTTTATTTACGGATCGTCATGGCTACCATCAACTGGGGTTGCTTTCTTGGGTGGTTTACAAGTTTAGGTTAGATTCGTAATAAGCATATGCTTTCATCAATGATCCGTGTATCCATCACCGGTAATTTTTTTAATCAATATAAATACTTTTAAATACAAAAATTATAATAAGATTATGATTTTAATTCATATACTCTTTTTAATATTTTATTATCAAATCAAATCAAACTCAAACATGAATATAATATGCATGCATCATATATTCATATGAAATAAGTGTCACTATTCTTGCTAACGACATAAATGTTATTGGGGCATGGGTCAGTTCAGGTTTTCGATTCACTCGATCCGATCCAAAAATTACTCATCTTTAACCAAGCTTAAATCCAACCCAAAAATTATATATTTTCTATCCGTTCCGACCCGTATTTTTAAGTTAAAATCTGAATCTAACTCGAAACGACCCAAAATAATATATTTATTAAAAAATATTAATTTTATTCAATAAAAATAAAAACTTAATTAAAAAAGAATATATATTGGGAGTATTGTTATAATTATATGTAAATATATAAATAAAATTATACTTTTTAGGGGGTCAAATCGGTTATTTTTCATCGAAAATTCAAATTGATCCGATCTAAATCTAAAATTAAAAAAAATCATTCTAATCAAATCAAATCATATCAAAACCCATTAAATTTGAATTTCGTATCCATCTCAGTATTGGAGCCTGGGAGGCGTGTGAAGAAAGTGTTATATTTTGCTTTGATTTTTGACATTATTTGTCGTGCCCATTGGTTTTTACCTATTTGTCGGTGCAACCGTTGGGGCATGTGAGGCTAGAGATGTAAAAAACTGATACGAATGGTAAAATTATTAAAATTGATTTGAGTTAAAATTGTTTATTACTTGAGATAGTAATGATTTAAAATTGATTCGAGTTTGAATTGATGTTGATTTGAACCTGAGTTGGACCCGAAAATTTACGACATACACCCGACCTGAGAACGACCTGAACCTGTATTCGACCTAATAATGTGACAATCGAACCCGACCTATATCCGACTTGATATGAATACGAACCCTAGAATAACCCGACAAATAACTGATATTACCCAATATGTTATCAACATGACATGTTATAAACCTGATCGATAACTGACACAACCTGTAAATGATCCAACCTGTTATTAAAATGAACGATTTTTTATTTTTTTAGAAGACCAGGAGTCGAGAAGGTGGAGGATTTCAGAGTTTTTTTTTCCGGATGAACAATGTTTATTTTCTGGGTTAGATCTAAAAAAAATAAGAAATGAACATTTTTTTATATTGTTTTGGATCGAAAAAGAAAATAAAGAAGAACTGGCGAAGGAATTTGTGTTTTGATAATAAAAATACACAAAAAAAAAGAATGAAAGTTTTTGTTTTTTTTGGAAGAATAAATGAATAACACAGTTGAGTTTTAGGGGTTTGATCTAAAAAAATTTAAAATCTGAAAGAAAAAATATTTTTCTAGAGAGGGAAATGATTTTTCGAGAGAAATAAGAGAAATAATTTAGAGAGAGAAAGAGAGAGAATTTAGAAAATGAGAAAATTAAAATTAAAAATAAGTAAAAAAAGATATTTATATTACATTTTAATTCGGGCCTCTAAGCCTGCGCTTTTATGAAGACGGTAGTCTTGTCTCTTAAGTTTAAATTATTTAAATTTAATAATTTATCTTATTTTAATTGCTTTTAATTTCAGCTTGAAATTTTGTATTTATTTAATTTAGTCCAACGCATATATACTTTAAACTTATATGTATATAATATATATACTTTATACTTTATATATATATACATACTAATATTATACTTTAATATTTTATATATTATATATTATATACTTATAAGTATATTGTATACTATATTATATATACTTATATGGATGTTTTTTTATATGTATGGGATAAGGGGAGGTAAGATAGTAGGCTAGGTTGAGAGCAGCTTCCGTAGGAGACCTCCAAATTATGAAATGTCCTCCGTGGGACTTGATCCCACGACCTCAAGGTTTATATATATATACTTATATACTTATATGTATGTATATACTTATAATGTATTGTTTATATACTTATATATATATATATATACACACTTATATTATATATAATATATGTATATAAGTATATATAAGTTTACATATATATACAATATATTTTATATATGTATATACTTATAAGTGTATATTATATATGTATGTATATATATATTATATAAATATAAACTATATTATATAATATATATATATATATCTATATATAAATATAAACTATAGTATATAGTTTATATATAAAGTATAGTTTATATATATATATATATATAGTTCACATGTAAACTATATAGTATATATAATTTATATATATAGTTTGCATATAGTATATATGGTTTATATATAGTTTATATACTACTATGTATAAACTATATAAAAACTATATATAATTATATAAATTAACCATAAACCTATATATATATATATACTATATAGTTTATACATAGTAGTATATAAGTATAAACTATATAGTTTATATATAGTTTATATTAATAAACTAAATAATTTATATAATTATTACATTTAACTGGTTTATTAATCTAACTGTTAATACTAAACAGTTTTAATTAATTGAACTGCTAAAAATGAAATTTACAGTTACAAATTTTGATAAATAACCGTTAATAAATTAAATTTATTATTATATTTCTAACTTATTATATTTTTACACAAATAACTTAATATAATTTTTTATTATTTCTAATTTATTTATATATTAATAAAATTTGTAGACAAAAAACTTAAAAATATTTTTAATTATTCTTTATAAATACAAAAACATACTTACACCAATATAATTATGTGTTTATTATTAGGTGCCAAGATAATGAGAGATATACATATTTACACCGGTATAAGTATGTGTTAAGTGCTACACTTTTTTATTTCTTTGTAAATACAAAAACATACTTACACCAATATAATTATGTATTTATTGTTAAATAGCAAGATACTGAGAGATATACATATACCGGTGTAAGTATGTGTTAAGTGCTATATTTTTTTGTTATATTCACTTGCATCGGTGTAAGTATGTATAAGTGCTACACTTTTTTAATATGAATTATAGAAAAATTTGACAAATAATTGTAATAGATTAACCATAGGTTAACTTATAATCAAACGGTTAACCAACCGTTTAGACTAAACAATATGGTTACCATTCCATGAACAACCTTGGTTTTATCTGCTAGTCTCTCTAATTGGGGGATTAAAAGAAAATCTGGTTTTGAGTCGGTATAATTTCTTAATTATTGATGGGAATATTTGCTTATCAGTCATTGCTGGAAAGGATTTGAGGTTTTTATCATTCAAAACTACATGATGTGAATTCCACTAATGCGCATTTCATGAGAGATGAAAACTTCCATCCATTCGGATCGTGTTTGATCATGTATTCGTATAGTGTTTGTGTTACTTTCTTCTTGTTACATTCAAAAGGAAGGTTGGGGAACAAGATATTCTTATTGCACATTCCATAGAAGCTGTAAACTTTAATCCATTACAATATACCAGAAACGGGTTGGCAGAGGTCGAACACACCGAAAAACAGATCGAAACAGACAAAAAAAAGTTGTCAAAACCAATTGTCTCAACTACATTAGTTTGGTATGCACATACCAGCATCTGGACTTTGTTCTTCCTTCCATATCCTTCCTGTAACCCTCAGCTTTAGCTCCTTTCTATCCCCGACAGAGAAGAAAAGTGCCATGTTTCGTTGGATGATTAGACCATCATGGCTGTCCCTGACTTTCCGGTGACTATCACGGATGCTGCGTGGGGTGCCTTCCCATGTAAGTTTCCGGCTATTTCCTCCGACTTCTAGGCTGTAGCTATAGTTCCTAGCCTCTGTCTCGTCACCCATGAAACGAAGAAATGCCATGTAGACAGGAGCCATTCCCAACTGGAAGGCTTCAAAGTGTAGGCAGAAATACTGACCATAGCAATTGAATACCTGTCAAACATAAGCAAAGCCAGCAGATTATGGTTCATGATAGGAAGATTATTACAGACCTCATCGGAACATAGTAATAAAAGATACAAAACTAACCGTCAGCATCCAAGTAGCATTTTCGACTTCCCGAGGGTTGGATTTCACGTATCTATGGTTAAACGTGGAGCCGGTGTGCATGTCCACCTTGTGGTCATCCCTCAGATGGGCAACGAGGAAAGGAATATCCCCAACGACAGAACACTCCGACCAACATATGGACAATTATATGGCCTGTAGTTGCACATTCCCATGCTTGAGTTTGCTGTAATAGGGATATATTTCCGAGCACCCCAACTTGAAGTATTTGCAGGGCAATTCAAGGGACTCTGCTATCTTCTCCAATGCTAAACATCGAATATCACCAAGTTCATGTCTACAAGTCGGGCACCGGTTGTGTACTTGGATTTTACAGGTAGAACAAAGTGTATGTCCATCGGGGCACTGCAAAAAGCCGTAGAGAGAGCAATTTATCCTCTATCATATACAAATTACCCTTGCTACCCGATCATCAAATACTTAGAGATCTCAGCGTCCAGCACATCTGAGAAATTAACATCTCAAATTATTCCGAAGTTTCTTCTCTCTAATAGCTAAAAAGCAGGCAAATTTGGCCCAACAGGCAGGTAAAAAAATTGACGCATTCTACCATCCCAAAATTAATTTGGGATCTACGACAAATATTTTTTTATTCAAAGTCGTCACATTAAAGTGACAAATTTCAAAAATAATAAATTTTTATTAGAATTTGTCAAGTCATACCCACGTGACGAGTTCGAGTCACGGTGGCAAATGCATAGATTCCAAATTAATTTTAGGAGAATTTTGCCCCATTTAGGATTCGATCAGACTTGATTCTAGATATAATCGGATCCTACTAAACAATGGTTATTAGACCCAGAAAGAAAAATCATAGCATAAATGATGAACAATAATTTCTACGCAAATATGTAAATGAATATCCATAATCAATGCTAAAAATTGAACAGAAACTACCACAAAAACAATGCTCTCCAT